GGTAGAAGCGACTTGCGACCGCGACGAGCGACATGGAGCTAAGACAGCTCCATTGACTATCATTAGCCGGCGACTTCTCGCGATATCGCGCGGCAAAAATGCGCGATATCGCGGCGGAAATCACGCGATAAGTCGCTACATGTGAACGGGGCTTTAATGACCAAGGACAAATGTGGGTCCTGAGGTTAGACCGGTTGAGAACCTCTGTTCTAGACAATTTCTAATTTTATTTATTAAAAATGATATATTCATTTAAATTTAAAGGGTTCTGCGAAAGTATTTCAGATGTGTAGGGTGAAACGCAGAGCAAAAGGTAAATCTACACAGCCAGTTTATGGCCAGCTTAGAGCTAGCCATACACTGGTTAGTATTTGGCCTGGCGACTCCGCTTGAAATTTGCCCAGTGTGTGCTCCAGTCGGCACCATTTCATTGAGTTTGAAAATGAAACTTTTGGTTTTGGAGCTGGTCCGAAAATTCTCAGCCAAGCAGTTACTGAAGCCAATTAGCTGCAGTCACTGATCGGGTATTCTGACAACGGCAGACCTGTGGGAATACAATAGCGCGGCTGGGGGGGAAGTTCCCCCATCCACGTGGGCTGAATGGGGGAAAAAACGATGTACAGTATATGGCCAGCTTACCAGAACTGATGAGAGAAGAGGTGGATGTCTTTGCCTACAGCAATCAATAATAGAATAGATGTGGGCTAGTCTGTTTAGTGGAAGATCAATTCTATACCGTGCACTCAGCATTCATTTTTCAATCCTAACTTAATCTAAAACTTTATTTTGCTTTGGATAGAGAGGGGAAAGGCTGGAGCCCCTGCCTGGTTTTTGTTGTTGTCTGGTCTGTATCTGTATTGCAGAGATTCCCCTTCCACATTTTTGAAGAGTCCAGAAGAGTTTAAACTTCTGATGGTTTGTATCTCTGTGTGGCCACAAAACTGCATTATGTATGGCCATGATTAGGTTCCCGACACCTGGGGTGTGCTTACTGGGTGTTAAGGTGACCATACACTCTTCGATTTTTATTCCGAAATCTTCCACGATTGGTCTTTCAAATGAAATTCGAACAGTTGATGGAACGCCAATTATTTTTTTTCTTTTTGACATCTTGCTTGATTTTTCTAGAAGGGTGAGGCTGGAAAACTTTTTTCGAATCGAACAGAAATCGACGGATTAGTGGCATTTTCATACGAAAAAATTTGCAGCAAGAACATTGCACGTGCGCAGAATTCGTTGTGTCGATTGACAAAATTCAGGGAGTTAGTTAGACATTGGTCTGTGCTTGATGGACTATTTGAGCTAGGATCGAAAGAGGGTTTTTGGCAGCAAGGAACATTTCCGATCGACAATCTATCGGTGTACGTCCAGCCTTAGAAATGCACACAGTCTGCCTTCTGTTCACAAGTGTATATACTTCATTTACGGGCCCAGGCACACCCATGCATCATGGTAATGCACTCGTTAACACACCATACGTGAGTTATTGTATTGCAATGCCTTTCTGTCTCAATATTTTTATTGAAATGTTTTCATATAACCTATATAGTAAGAATATTGGTTCACAGTGCATCAAGATAGTAAATCCTCATAACAATAATAAAATCACGCAGAATGTGACTACATATTAAAGGTATGGACAATCAAAGAGCAGGGAGGCGACACAGTCTTAATCGCGTATCACAAAAAACAGCCAATATGGCAGGTGTGTTGGTAGTAGGTCTGTCTCCCTACAGGTGAACCAGTAAAAAACCATTAACAGAGGAGGGGGGTAAAGGCCCGAAAGAAAATATAGTAGGAAAAGAAGAGGTAGAAGAATATTGAGAGGGGTAGTAGTGTCAGGTATGCCCGTACTACTAGGGATGGGGGGGGTGTCCCATAGCTCGTTAACACCAGTCACCCTACTGAGTAATAGAGACTGCAAGTCCCCAGCTCATGGTCCACAATCAGTGGGTCTTCCTTCCTGCATCAAATACCTTGATAACTCATGGGGTCTAACCCAGGATGACGAGATGAGAGCCATGGTTCCCACACGCTCAGTAACAGAGAATGTTTGTCCTCCAAGATGCTAGACAGTCGTTCATTAAGCATAATATTGTCCAACCTGTGGGCAAATTCCACATAGGGAATTTGTTGTTTCTTCCAGTTACCTGCCAACATCAATTTGGCTGCTAAAAATTAAAGTGTGCCAAAGCCCGTTGAGGTTTACTTAAGCCTGGTATAGATAAGTGGAAGAGAGCATAGTGAAGGTTTATGGGAACATATGTAACAAAAAGAGAACCAATTAGTTTAAATATCCTGACCCAAAACCGAGTGGCTAAGGGGCATCACCACCGATTGCACTGCCTTTCATTTCATTATGGCACTTTCACTGCTGTGCTTTGTGGTGTGCTGAATTTCTAAAATTGGTGCATGCCCCTTTTCTGGTCCGTTCTGTTGCATTGGAGGCTCATTCCAATGAACATAGTTGAGTTAAAAATAGACACAAGCCCATTGAGTTCCACCAATAGAGGGGGGAAACAAGATGAATCAATAATTAGAAAACATCCATAAACAGAACTGTATTCCCAAAGTTGGTCCAAAGGAAAGAAAAATAACCCTATAAAGTGTGGTCCAAACTATTCCTTCCTGGATATTCCCTGGATCCGAACTCTCTGGTGGTATTACTTCTCAATGTTACGATCATCTTCTATGCTTTTAGGAATATCCTTTATCCTTTGCAGTGAACATAAAGTAAATCATTTTGCACCAAGCTCACTATTTAGACCATCTATATATTTATACATGGTGATCATGTTCCCCCTTAAGGGTTAGTTCACACCAGAAACTGCATCACAACTGCGTGCGTCTGCACAGTTGCATTGTGATGCATTTTGACGCGTTTGTGATGCGTTCAGATGCGTTTTATCCCCCTGGATGTCCCTGGATAATGCCACAATCAATTCTTTTTCATGCGTTCCGTTGCATTTGCATGTGTTTTGATGCGTTCCAGTGCAGTTAGATGCAGCTAAAATAGGGCAAGCAGTACTTTTTCTGACTGCATCTGAACGGACTGCAATGGTGTAAATACAGCACGAGAAAGCCTATAGGAAAGCATTGTGATGTATTTTGGCTGCAGAAGTCAAACTGAGCGGACTGCATCACATTTGCATATGGTGTGAACTAGCACTAAGAGAACTAAAGCCACACCTTTTTTTTGGATCCCAGGAGGACATTTACTAATATAGTTCTGTGACCCAAAATCATCCTAAAGCAGCCAATTGCCCCCTGTATGCTGACAGCGCAGAGCCATGCTGCAGCGCAGAAAGATCCCGACAATACTTACTGGGATCTACCCTGCTGCCTGATTGACAGCTGTACTTGCCCCTCCCCTGACTGTCCCCCCAGTCAGTGCTGCAGGGACAGTGAGAGGAGATGGAATTCCTGCAGGGAGTGGCGACTGACAGAACCCATGAGTGCAGCAATCAGCAGTATGTGATCGCTCAGTTCTCGATCTATAGAGCCGACGCGTGAGAGCGCCAGTGTCACACATCAGCCCAAACTATTGGGAAGCGTATGTATTACTCTCCCAAAAGTTCTCATTTAACCCTTTTGCTGCCAAGTCCTCCAGAATGCTTTTAACCTGAGCTGGCCACAATTTTTGCAGTTTTTCCCATCGGTTTGATTTTCTATTGCTGCGTTGCTAGCATTTGTAAAAGAACCCCCAACCCATATATTTTCTGAAAACGCAGGGCCGGTAGAATAAAAAGATGGTGCTATTCATTTTGTAGGTCCTGCGATAATTGTACAACTGTTTGTCAAATCAGTATTCGATAAAACTACACAATTCAATGGATAAAAACACACTAAAATCAGTATCAGTGCACAAAAAAACACTTTTCCGACTAAGGGCCTGTTCACACAACGTCCGTTTTCTGTGCTGACCTGATCCGTACGCTCCTGCATTAAAAATGCATCCCAATGTATCCCTATGTGTTTTATGGGTTACAGTTCTCACGTGCGTTGTCCGTTCAGGTTACGACAGAAAAATACTGCATGTCACATTTTGTACGGTCAGGAAACGGTCCGGAAACGCAAAACGCGTCAAAAACGCACTGCACTGCAGCTAACAAAAAAGCTGCTGGAACGCATCAAAAGAGCGTTCAGTTCAAGAGCATGTAGAAAAACTGCAGCATGCCCTATTTTTTTTCTGCTGTGGAATGCACCAAAAAGCATGCAAAAGCATCAGAAATGCATGCAAATACCCTGGAGTGCAATGAAAGCCAATTTTAGGCTAAAAATAATAATATATATTATTTTTTTTACAAAAACGGCCCGTAACATGTAAAAAATGCGCCAATAACACGGCAAAACACACTGCACTGCATGTGCAGAGACTCATGCAGATCTGGTCTGCATTTGGTGTGAACAAGCCCTAAATCTAAAAGATAAAACTGTTAATAAATAACAAATATTTGTAGATTTCATATTCTTTCCATTTTGTTAGATTGGATTTAATAGTTCTGTGTAGGATGTTCAAAGTTTGGGATTTTTTTGTATAACCCAACCCTGATCTATACTTCTCCACAACTTTATCTCTGACATCTTTGGAGAGCTCCTTGGTCTTCGTGTTGCTTGCTTAGTGGTTTTGCAGACTCGGGAGCCTTTCAGAATAGGTGTATTTATGCTAGGCAAGCAATATGAAAAGAACACTTCCCATGTAAATGAGAAATCCCACCTTTTCATATGAGGACTACTAAATTGTGAAACATAATCTTAACTCGGTGAGACATTTTCAGCAGCCGGGGCATTTTAAGTGGTGTGTATGTATTTTTGTGCAGGGTTGATAAGCAGTGACTCATTAGGCAGAATCAACAGCTTGAGCATGCTAGGCTAGCCCTTAGGGTGCAAACACTGAGACGCATAACTTGAATACAGAACCGCAACCCTCAGTCTTGGCAAAAGTGTCAATCTGCAAAATACATTAAATTGTTCAATTTGTATTTTTTTTTCCTTCACAGAGCACCTGATGGCAACCTCCCATCTCTGAAAAGACACTGATGCCAAGGCTGCACCTTGTGATTGTCACCAGCTTCTCTCCTGAGCTCACATAGTCTTCAAGCGTCTTTGTTAATTGTACTGTGCCTAAGGGAACTCTTACACACTGAGCCAACACTGATTACTCTGGCACCATGTCAGGTAAGGGAGGCTAAACCAATTTTTTCGGTTTATTGTGTTTATGAACACTTATTGTTTCCTTTTTTTGTGCACATAAAATTGGATTATCTATGGTAACAATGTGCTGCAGAGAGATGCCCACACCCTAATCACTTTCATATTACGTAATAGCTTGGTCTATGTATACAGTAATCGGAAGCATTTCATTTTAGATCCATTTTAAATACAACTGACATGCAAACATCATACTATGCTTCTAAGCTGATGACCTTCAAAATCTATTCTGCAGGAACAAATATATAATCTACTGCAGATTACCAGACCTTTGGTGTGGTGGCCCCAATTGTTTTCATGATTCCTTTATTTTCATCTGGTGATCCTGTCAGTAACACGCTTCCTATCTTAGGGAAATGACTGTACTACTGTGTATATGGAGAAGCAGTGTTGTCACCCTAGGCTGTTCTCCTGATTTGGGCAACCACTGCCCTCTAATATGAGGGGGGTAGTTCATAGAAGATAACTAGTGAGAGTCTCCCTCTCCTGGCCGTGTCCCATAGAAGTCTATCGTGCTATAATGTGCAAGTGCAGCCAGCAAATCATGTGGCACTGGATGTAAACAATAGGAACTTTTCCTGTCGAATCTCTAAGTATGGATCTGGGGGGGTGTATTATTTAGGTCGGGGGGTGGGAGCAAAAAGGTTAAGTGCACTTTGTTTTAATGTTTACTTATCCTTTATCTATTTCATCCCAAACTATACAAAAAAAAGTTTTGGCTATATACACTGTACATTTGAATTTTTTGGTTTAGATTTGCTTTAATTCCAAGGACAGTACTGTTTTTAAAAAGGTATGGTGTGGTTTTTAAAACCATAAATGTGTTGATGAACTGTACTTGGCCTATCTATGGCTTTTAAAAGCTAATAGCGAGTTTTGCAACAAAAACAGTTTGCTTTCAAAGCAAACTGTTGTGTATAGCAGTTTGATATACTGTAAAGATACATTAGCCAGTGCATTTTTAGGTACTCTGTTTAGACCCCCCGTGGCCCCTAAAAGTAAAGTAAAAAATAAAAATATATTAAAAAGTTTATAAACAAATATGTTAAAATATTTTAAAAATTGAAAACGTTAAAATAAAAAGCATTTTCGGTTTCGGCCTGACTTTTTTTTTCGGTTTTGAAATTTTAATTTTCGGAGCACCTCTGGTAAACCCTCAATCCTTGTTCTTTTTTTTTTTTTTCTTCCAATAATCCAGATCAAACATATATACACTGCTCAGCAAAGTATTTATTTTAATTTTGTGCCTAAGCATTTGCAGTCATTGTGTTTCCGAACCGCTGGCTCGAACTCTTTCAGCTCCACTTCTCTAAACTTCCTGTCCGTTATAAGATCACAAGGTACAGAGCTGTCCCCATTATCTATCCATTGGGGAATGGTTTGTACTGCTGAGCCTGTGTGTTTGTGACGACACACACAGCTTACAAGCACACACAAGGGTTACTCCATAAGACCCTGAAAGGCAAAGGAACCACCCTAAAACAGGATATCACGGCCAGTGCTCAGGGGACTGGTTGATTCTGCAGAAAGCTAAAACATTTAAATATCAAGTAGCAGCATCCATTGTAAGGAATGTAATCGGCATTGGAATAGCTTAAACACCTTTTGACTTTAATATTACTTTAATGTAGACTTAAGGAACTGGTTACATCCACTTGGTTTCCATGGGCAAGGGAATGTATTTAATTGACTACAATATCCATTCACCAGATTTAATTCTTTGTTGTACTTTGTCCAATGGCTTTAGCCTAACAGATGTTTGCAGATATCAGTTTGCCTTTACCTGGTCCAGCTGGATTTGTACAGGATGGATGTTCCCTCAAAGAGGCTTGTGGACAAAGTAGCTGAAAACACAGGAGTTGTGCTGCTATTTGTTGTAATCATTTGTGATAGTTTGTCTTCTGAGTTACTGCTTTGGGATAAGTGTGCCTTCTATTATTGTTTTAAAAAACTATTGAGTTTGTGATTAAAACAGGGGAGGACTGGGAACCTGTGGCCAGGCGGAAGAAGACCACCAATTGAAAGGGACAAAAATTCTGTGGGCTAATGAATGTGTGCTATGCAAAATGTGCCATGTTGTCCCAGTAATTGATGGGCATGGTAAAACATGGGCGCTCCTGAAGGACATGGCTTATTGTGGCATATTTCTATCACACCTTCCAGCATGTGCTTCCCTTGCTGTTTTCTGCATTCATCTGTGTGACATGTCAGAGCCACAAGAAAAATCTGTGCTGGAAGACTTTCTCTGCTAGACGTTGTGATCTCAGCTCTGAATGGAGAAGGCAGCTGTATAATGCTTACTATGTGTCAATGCCCCCTGAACCAGACCTATCTTGGAATGAACGTATTATTTCTTTGGTTGAATATGTCAAAAGGATTTCTAGTGGAATAAGGTGCCTACAAGATGTCCTCTATACCTGTTCCAGGAAACTCAGAATTTTCGATTTTCTTCACATTCAGTCCTGTGACAAATAATGAGGATAATTCTCCCAAGTGGGAGCACAGGCAGCAGTACAAATCTGGCAGAGGTTCTAACTCTTCACTACTTGATATAAAATGGCTTTAGATGCACTTTTTAAGTTCCACAAGTGTTAATGTGCTTTATAATATTGTTTTTTTTTTTTATCGTTTAGGGAGTTGCACCCCATCTCCGGGTGGTCCTTTCTCTGCTCTGACACCAAGCATGTGGCCACAGGAAATACTTGCAAAATACACACAGGTAAGAATAGACATATCTGTGGAACGTGTGTTCATCTTCATTTGAAAAACTTTTCTACAAATATTGAGGTTTGTTTTATACAAATCTTTCTCTCTCGATGTGATTTACAGAAGGAGCAGTCTGTAGAACAGCCGGAGTTCCGCTATGATGAGTTTGGATTCAGAGTGGATAAAGAAGGTAATAATGACAAGGATTGATATTGAGTTCATTTTTTTTTTTCTCCTTTAAAACCAGATTTGAACTTCATCTTAATGTCTGCTGAAGCCTCCATGTACGTCTCCCTCTCCCTATATTTGTTACTCTACCGAATACATTAATTTGTGTTTTCTTCTTCTTTTGTTACACTCTGCAGATGGTGCAGAACCTAATTCAAGTAAGCTGTTGGGTATCCCACTGACGGAAGACCCCCAGCAGAGGCTTAAGTGGCAGGCCCACCTAGAGTTTACCCACAACCATGACGTAGGAGACCTAACGTGGGATAAGATAGATGTGACACTCCCACATTCTGACAAACTGCGCTCCCTTGTGTTGGCTGGAATTCCTCACAGTATGAGGCCACAGGTACACCAGTGCTTAGAGTAAAAGCTTCAACTTGTCTTTGGCAGCCTGTGTGAATTGAAAAATGCTGTAGTATGCTAATCCTACAGCTTTCCAAAGGTAGCACAGCTCTCATGGATTATTCTAGTCCTCTGCAATTAGAGTGTTGGAAAGACTGAGACTACTGTCTGCCTATAGATATGAGATAGTGGGTGTGGGCTTTACTCGACTGCCAAAGATTTATTTTTGTAAATAATACCCAAATATAGACATCGGAATTGACATTTGCACACTTTCATGGCTTCCTTTATCTTCATAGAAACTTTAGCAAAGGTAAAATAATTCTCATGTTCTATTCACTTGAAAAAACGATCTTGATTTTTTTTCTAGAGCCCATGCACATAATTATCATTGCTTGATCCCACTATAGGTCATCTTTTTTGTCTATGGGGGTCTTTTAATACCATAGAGGACGATAATATTGATCTGAAAACATGATTGGGGAGTGCCAGTTTAGAAAATGTATGTTTGCATAAACTCTATACAGACAGAAAGACACAAATATTTGATGTAATAATGAATACAGAGCTGAATTTTTTTTTTTTAATACAAGTGTAAGAACCTGAATTTGAGTTGCTATCAACCTCTTGCAGTACAGCAGAACTTGGACAGGGGGACGGAAAATCAGCACAAGGATCCAGTCAACTATGCTGCTTTGCTAATGTGCTAACAATGAGTCTGCAGAGGACTGCACCCGGGTGAACATGTGTACTGCAGCAAAAGCAGTTTTGGTTTTATTTTTGCTGGGCAATCTATTTAAATTAAAACTCTAATTTGTCTTTAACATACAGTAGCAATTTATAGTAGGAAAAATCAAGTAATCTTTTTTTGTTCTATAAGCTTTGGATGAGACTGTCGGGTGCACTGCAGAAGAAAAGGAATTCAGAGATGACTTACAGAGACATTGTGCGGAACAGCTCCAATGATGAGACTCTAGCAGCTAAACAGGTAAATAGGTGGTCAATACTACCAGTCAATTCTTCATTTTCTTAAACTCTTACCTTCTTCTACCTGTGTCATTACTGCTGTGAGGAACTGGTGCAGAAAGACAACATGGAGATTAAGAAAAAGGGCCCCACTATTCAGGGTGTTTTATTGAGGTTGTTTGGTATATAGTGGGATGAGAAGGACAGGAATGGAAGAGACACACACACACACACACACACACACACACACACACACACACACACACACACACACACACACACACACACACACACTGAACTTGATGGACCTGTGTCTTTATTCAACCTCAAATACTATGTAACTTTAACAATTAACTCCTTCATTCCCAACCACACTCTGCAAAGTAAATGGACTATTAATTGACAGCTCTTATTTCATTGTCCCTTCACTTTCCAGGCACAAAACAAGGATCCTCTTCCAGTTGTAATGCCTGTAATGATTCCTGTGGGAGTGTGCCCGCTCCCCCTGCCTTCCTGTGACCTTGCTTGTGTCTGGAAAGTCCAGAGACAGTGAGATAAGTGCTGTCAATCAAGAATGCAGCTCTTTTGCAGAGCATGGTTGGAAATGAAGAGGAGTGAACTGTCAAAGTCTGTAGCTCAGTTTGTACTGTAGCTCAGTTTGTACATCTCACAGAAGCATGGGACATACACTGTGGGAGTTAGGTCTGAGCTGTGAAAATAATAAAAAAAGCGAGACTTTTTCATGGATAATATGGCTTTTGTGTCGCAGGCCGCTGCCCTAGTTCCAGGCTTAGAAAGACCATTTCAGCTCTTATTGATGCAGTGCACACCATGTTAAGACTGGAAGTTCAGCCTAGCTTCTGTTAGCGTTGTTACCTGTCTGGGTCCCTTAGAGGCCCTAAGACTACCAAGACCTTCCCGGTGCACCTACTAGACACAAACAAGATCCCCTGTTTGTGGAGCATTTTTAGCTTTTGTAGTCCCTCACTTCTACCTTGCCTCAGCCCAGGGAATATTCACAAAGGTCTCTTCACCAGCTCTGGGTCATCTTCTCAATGACATTCCAGTCATCGGATACCTGGACTATCTGCTGCTGCAAAAGCAGCCCTCTCTGGACTGTCTCCAATGTGCCAAATACGATGCTGACTTTGGAGAATTTTGGATGGAGCCTGAAATTAGAGCATTCATTTCTGATTCTGTGACATCACTTGGAGTACTTCGGCTTTCACCTGAATACCTTTTAGGCCAAGGTCTTTCTACCCCACAAGAATTTGACGCAACTGTAGAATCAGGTGCAGTAACTTCAATCCCGATATCAATATTTTTTGCAGAGCTCTATCCTTGTGCTGGGATTGGTGGTCTTCATCTTCATAGTGGTCTGTTTTGCTCTATTTCACTCCAGAACTCTGCAACAGAACATAGTGAGTGGGACACATCCAGTCACATCCAGTCTTTCTCTAGACAAGATGATCTGGTTACATGCAATTACAACCAAAATGTCTCTGTCATGGTAGCTTCTGTCTCTGGCATTATTGGATCGCAGGGTTTTTTCTTTTCTTACATTGTTAGAACATATACATTTGTATCCTGAGATGTTAGTTTTGTGAATTGAACCTGTTGTCCTGTTTGCTTACTCCAGTATCAGCAGTCAGTCTTTCCAGTCTTTCAATATAGTTACAAACAAGCGCATACTATATTGAAGTCAGTTAATGCAGCTTGCGGCCAATGTACTACTATTGAGGAACAATTTTCTTTATACTCTAGGCCAGTGATGGCGAACGTTTTTGAACCCGAGTGCCCAAACTGCGACGCAAAATCAATTTATCTCAAAGTGCCAGCGCTAAACATAAGTATAGTATTGTATTGCAGTTTGGTCGCTGGGCTTTAAAAAACATTCAACATCACTGCCTTAGGCAAAATAGGGAAACACACATATTCAAACATTTATACACTCAATAAAACACACACCACACACTCATTATAAAAAGAAAGCACACATACATAGATATCACACACATTAAAAACACATCGCACACGTAATGAAACACACACGTTAAAACACACACCTCAAAAAAAATATTTTAATTTTTAATTTTTTTTAACTCTTGGGGGGGGGCTTTGGGAAATATTAGAGGTCTAAACAGCCCCCTGATATTTCCTTTTTAAAATAGAAAAAGAAATTGAGGACACAAAGTCCTCAATCTCTTTTTTTGCAGTCTCTGTTCTAAATGAATGGAAAGCACAGAGGCTTCCATTCATTAAGAAAATATTTACTATCAAGCAGTTTCTGAATGGGGAGGAGCCTCTGTACTGAGTGCTGCTCCCCATTCGGAAACTCATGAATGAACAAGAAGTGATGTAAATCACGTTCTGTTCATTCATAACTGGGGACACATAGCACTATGTGTCCCCAGTTATTTACAAACACTGGAGTGATCAGCTGATCGCTCCAGTGTTTGTCCTGCACAGAGGACCGGTACATAGCACTGATATGTACCGATCCTCTGCCGCTCGGCCACGCACAAAGGGGGGCTCAGCTTCTCCTCTGAATCTCCGCTGCTTTCCTGGGCAGAGGCAGCGGGGATCGGAGCAGAAGTGAGGAAGGCACTGCAGCCACAGATGGAGCTCCATCTTGCCCTAACCCCTTCATTTATATAAATATGCTTTTCCAGCAATCTTCGGTTCAGTCGCATGACATCACACGTTTTCTTCCTCCAGTGGTGGGCAAATATGCAATGTTGCAAAGACTGGAGCCATGTAATGGATGTGGGAACCCTCTTTGCAAAAAAAAATTTTTTTAGGCCAAGCCAGTGCGATGACTTGCCCAGAGGAGAAAGGTCCCTGACGGCCTGGGTTTACAGGAAGTGAGTTATATGACATTAAGTTATTCAAGCCAATAGACAAAAGATGCTGGACCACGGAGAGGACTTTCTATGGGGTGCAGTGCCAGGGAGGATGTGGTTATTGCAGTGAGAGCTGCATTTAATTATGTTTGAGCATGGGGCAATTTAAAATCGTATTAAGCTCTCAAACTTTTTTTCAATAATGAATCCAGATCAAACAAATATACATTGCCCAGCAAATCATTGGTTTACATTTTCCCCAAACACCTACAATCGCCATGTTTCTGAACAGCCGCTTCCAAGTCTCTTAGCTCAGCTTCCCTGAACTTCCTGTCCAGTACAGGATCAGAGGGGACAAAGCAGACTGCAGCAACTGTTCATCTATTTCGAGATGGGAGGAGAGAGGGGGCCAGGGGGTAGGAAAGTAGCTTAATTTGCTGTGCCTGTGTGTTTGTGGAGACGCACACAACTTACTAGCACAAACAAGGGTGGTTCCATAAAAGTCTGCTTGAGAAAGGAGTCACTCTAAAACAGATAGTCATGCTCAGGGGACCAGCTTATTCTGCAGGAAACTAAAACTTCAAAACATCGAGAAGCAGCATCCACTTTAAGTGATTTCATCAGCAATTAAAAACACACATTCTCTGGTTAGTTAAACTACTTGTTGGCTACTTTTGAAATGACTGGCTCCTGAAAGTGGCATCATTTTGTCTACTAATTTTGAGTGCCATTAAACCCCAGTCAAAGTGCACGGTACACAAAAAATGTTTTGCAATTTCTAAGTAACTGTTAAATTATTGCTTACATCTATTGAGTAATGTTTTGACTGTTAATGTTGAAACTATACATCAGAAAGTCATAGTAATACATTTAAAGAAAGAGGTGTAATAACTGACAAAATGTTTGCTTTGCTACTTATCAGATCGAAAAGGACCTGCTTAGAACAATGCCCAGCAATGCTTGTTTCTCCAATCTGCAAAGTGTAGGCGTGCCTCGTCTCAGAAGAGTACTGCGTGGATTGGCATGGTTGTACCCAGATATTGGGTATTGCCAAGGCACCGGCATGGTGAGTTAAATGGAAATTTTGATTAAGGCCTTCATCTCTGTGAATTTTATGCTCAAACTGTGAAAAAATGTAAACACTCTTAAAGGTACAGTAATACCTTGGTTTTCAGGTAACTTGGTTTGCGAGTGTTCCGCAAGACATGCAAACATTTCTGAAAAATGTTGCCGTGCTATACAAGCAATGTCTTGCAATACGAACAAAATTTTTTAGAAAAGGACCACCCGAATTAGGCTGTAGCAGTGCGAGCGATGAATCTGTTTAATGACAATGCAATGCATTGCACATTTCCGCAAAATCCTCAAAAGGAGGCAACAGATGTAGTTCATTAGATGTAGTTCACGCTATTAGAGTCCCTGTGTGTTATTACAGATTGCGGCATCACCATATCTTACCAGGCTATTTCTCAGGTTTATGCCCTTAAATAGGGATGCACCGATACAGAGTATTTGGATGAGCACTCATACTCGCCAAAAATGCTCCGATACTTAATGACCCGCCTGTTTAGCCAGCCCCATGCTGATTGGCCAGGAAGCCGGCTTCCCAGCCAATCAGCATCAGGACAGCCAAACGGCATGGAGCCGCCTTCACGGGCAATCAAGAAGCCGGCTTCATGCCAGCGGAATTACCAGTACCAAAAGATAAATATCGGTACTTGATACCGAAAAAACGGTACCGGTGCAACCCTACCCTTAAACAAAAGGAACCTCAGCTCCCTGGTGCTGCCTATTCAATTAGAGCAGTAACTGCCTCAGGCTTCAGTATCCCACATAATGTTCACTATGTTTTTCAGCATATGCTACGTTTCTCAGCAGGGTTTTGCAGTTGGCTATGGTTATGGGATTAATCTATTGTTGTTGTTTTTTGGTTTTGTTTTGCCCGCCCCTCAGTTGAGCAATGCTCGTGGCAATTCCATTGGTTTCAATGATCTATCAATTAAAACTGTGTCCATACATCATTGAGAAAACAGAATTGTTGTACTCACCATAAAATGATTAGTTTTCTTTTGCCTGTTGATTCTTCCAGTAGATCTTTATATTTTCCTATTCCTTTAACAGGACTGGCTGTCCTATAAAAGTGGTGGTTACAGGGCTGCTGTATAATGTTCCTACAGACTCAACAGCATTGTCCCCATAACAATGATAATGATCCCAATATCTTAATTCTAATGGTTTCAATCTAATATTTATTTTGGAAGAAAAAGTTAACATCTGGATCTTAAACTGCTTGGTTTGAGTGAAGGTGGCAAAGTATGGGTTAACTCATACGGAAAACCTACATCAAAAAATTATCTCTTAAGAGCCGATAGTTGCCACCAGGGGCCAGTGAAAAGAGCAATACCTAAGGGACAATACATTCCTCTCAAATGGAATTGTTCCAAAACAGAGGACTTTGAGGGAGAATCCTTTGAACTACAGAATAGGTTTTTACAACGTGGGTACTCCCATTCCTTGATTAGACGGTAATATGAGGTGAAAATTAGATTAGAAATTTTTAAGAATTCCAACAACATGCACGATTGAATAAAGAGAGAACACTTATGTTCTCTACTCCATATAGTTGCCAGTATGAGGACATTAAATGAAATATTAAAAGATATTTACCCATTTTTGCATGGAGATGATGATATAAGGAGTATATTACAGGGAGGACTTCAATTTGTTGCTAGGAACCTAGGTAACATTCTGTCACCTAGAAATTACAGAAAACTCTCACCGATCCAATCCTCTGGCTTTAATCATGCTGCATAGATCCCGCAGGTGCAGGCTGAAAGATGTGTGTTCACCAAAGACTAGTACAATCTAAACACAGCCGCACTCCTCACATCTTGACAAACTTCTTCAAACGTTATTGTAATCCAAGCACGTGTATACACCGCATAGACTAAGCCTCAGTGGTGAAACCTGTAAAGGTGGCCATACACTTTACAACCCTCGCAAGAGGGTTGTCTTGCGATGGTTGTAAAGTAATTTAAAAAACGTATGATCTGCCCATCTTGGACAGGCAGATCGTACTTGCGATCATCGCTTCCGATGACTGCAATGAGGGGCGTTCTTCCGTTGACTGCAAGCGGGCAGTGTGCGCGTGCGCACACCGGCCCGTTCGGCAGTTATCGAACAAGCAGGCCACTAACTCGTACGTACGATTCTCGGCGGGTTTTCCAGTCTGCTTGTTTGACGGAAGATGTGCGACCGTACAGTAGAAACGGTCGCACGCCTTCCATACACTTTGCGATTATCGTACGATCATAAGCCGGTGAAACATGTGAGAGTAGGAGGAGCCTGTGTTTTGTTTACAGCATGTTTTAACTTTAAAAATAAACATTGTCCAGTTTGTGATACCAGTCATTTGTGGGGCAATTGTTTCTGTGGGAACCAGCATTGTCCCCCTGATAAAGGAAGTGGAAAAATAAAGGTTCTACTGGCAGGATCAACAGGTTAACTAAGTTACATTATTACTATGTTACCACGGGGATACATGTTGATGCTAATCAGAGACTGCATCATATATGTCTTTTTTCCTCCATTTAAAATTAGCCTGGTACACATGTAAACAGGAGCATAGAATTGGAAACCTAAATATAAAATATTCATTAGTAATTCATATTTACCTGACTAAAAATGAAAATAAAAATGGCATTCCCATAACATTTTATGTGCTAATTCTTCTATGATTTGAACTGTTTGAAAGGAGATTGCACCAGCAATAAAGAATAATGCTGGCCATACAAATGACAAATCTGCTTGTTTTACGTCATTATTGTATCAGAAAATAAACTAATTATAACTTCCATAAATCGACTACTGCGTAAGAAACCATTAAGAGCAATTTCTATCAGTCCTATGGACACTCCTGTATTGGATACAGAACACAGAAATTCTCGTGTCATCTGTTGTTTTAGGCTGAATTGCTCTTTAAAAGCTGGTCTGTTAAACATAAATATTTTAGTTATGGGTGTAGCCAGGTTGGTATATAACAAAGAAAAATACATTAGAGAGAGTGCGACTTCCTCCTGCTCACAGCAGGTGTACAGATCCAAGAGACTCAAGCACAAACATCTTGTACGTAAAGTCACTGAGAGTTATAGACATTGTCAAGTAATCTAGCTCTTTAAAACTTAAATATCAGTTTTAGATGCCAAAAAAAACCGGGAGCAAGGCAACCATTCTGCATTACAACGTTTCGTGCATGAAGGTTGCCCTGTTCCATGCTGTTGTCTCTCTTTTTATGTTCTCTTTGGCACATGGGTTTTCCCTGTCCAGCTCAGTTAAGGGACTGTATGCCCAGGGCACTTTAGGACTCTTCTGGAATTTTAACCCATTATTGACCCTGCATTTTCCAGAAACCCGAAATGCAAGTTTTAATTGTTTTTAGTTATTGTTTAGACACATCAGTTTTAGATGGGCTGGACTTATTTAAATGCTGTCTGATCATCTTGTCGTTATATCTGTAAAATATAGGGCTTGTGTCAAAGGAATTTTGTTGAGATGGAGATGCAAATCCTGCTTGAAGCTGGTCAGGTCACGTCAAAGCAGGTGTACGTCAAATGCACCAATCAATACATTTTGAATGATCTCAGAAGCATCTCAAACTGATGTCAAACTTATGCCATTGACACAGGCCCTTAATCTATGCTACTGCCAAACTCATGAACATTCACCTTGTTCACACCTAGCATTATACTGATGCTATTTTAAAGAAACAAATGACACATAAAGGTTTCATTTTCCCTGTCTCAACCCCTCTAATCTAGAATCTCTTTGTTCCTTTGTTGTCAGGTGGCTGCATGCTTGCTGCTCTTTCTGGAGGAGGAAGATGCTTTCTGGATGATGTGTGCTGTTATAGAGGATCTGGTGCCTGCGTCCTATTTCAGCACCACTCTGCTTGGTGTTCAGACAGACCAGCGAGTACTGAGACACCTCATAGTTCAGTACCTCCCTCGGCTGGACAAGTTGTTACAGGAACATGATATTGGTTAGTACTTTATACAGCTATATAGACGCACAGGCATGTACTGTAACTGCATGATTATCTTGCATTGCTATTAATTATCTCTGTATATTCTTTTGCACGAATTGCCTTTACTGTCTATCTCTTCTCTTATGGCCTACAGAGCTGTCCCTCATCACTTTGCACTGGTTCCTCACCGCATTTGCCAGCGTAGTTCACATAAAACTGCTGTTACGAATCTGGGATGTATTCTTCTACCAGGGCTCTCTGGTCCTGTTCCAGACCACTTTGGGCATGCTGAAAATTAAGGTATGGTTATTTTAGTGTGCACATTTCTTATCTATTTAACATTCAAAAAGGCTTAAAACATGGAGAAAAAAATATGCAGCTTAGCAGTGTGTTTTACACTCTTCCAATATCATGTCTGATTTTAATTTTGGTTATTAATCATTTATTTAATGTATTCCTATTGCTGAAACGGTTATCCATGCAGGTTACAATACAAGATCATAGTGTTTATCATGGACATCATTCAGGAGGTTTAGCAACAGCAATTTGTATTTGGCCATCAAAGTGGAAGTAAAGTTAAAATAAAATCGCTGGGAGGTGGGATTTTTGGCAGAAGAGACATACAAAGTCTCTTCTGCCAAAAAGTTATTTCTCTCCCACAGCATTCTTTTTATGTTTTGTGCCGTACAGTGTACACACTCAGCCCATTCATGGCATCTCTAAGGTGCCGTGGAGGATGTAACTCCTGTGTGAGAACCTGGAAGTGTCAGTGTTGGAGATGGAAGTGTCAGCCTTGGATGGAAGTGTCAGCAGCAGGGGACAGCACTGAGGACCAAAGATCATTCTGAAAGCGCTGGAGAAAGGCACACTTTTAAGATAACAAAAATAAATCAAACCAGTATACTTGCGCTTTAAGGAAGTGGTACCAGGGTAATAGTCAATTGCTAATCTTGTTTTTTTCTGTTAAACCTATACATCCCTCTGCTACTGACTAGGGTTGACAGGGCTTTAAGATTGGAGCTGGTTCCAGCTCCTGAGCTGCAGTTTATATCGCTGAAATTAAAATGAAGCTAAAAGCTGCTTTTGGAATGGTTCTCAGACCACAACAGTAGCTGGGGTTTATGGCATGGAGTCGAGGGTTTGTTTACTCTATGAAGCAAGACAGGAGCCTGGCAGGGTTATTCACTAGAGCTACTCCGGAGCAGGAAGACATGGAGCACTATAAACTGCTGCTGAGTCTTCCAGCCTGTAGACATTTACAGTCGGGGCTCTGCTACAGAGGTGATTTTAATCACTTGCTACTGAGTGATTTGAAGCCTAACTGCAGCCAAAACATTTTTATTTTTGATTAGAGCATGACAGTGTTATATCTACTGTCACAATGTTATGTTGGGGACATTTACCCTCATTTCCTGTCAGTACAGGAAGTGATGGGAAATCTCTCCATTAGGGACCAACAACACATTTCTAGTAGAGTAGGGAAGAGTTTGAACTTATGACAATATGTATAGTGCTGTTTTTGTCTTTTCTCTCTTTATGACTACTGCACCCCTCGTTTCTTGTACAGACATCACAGCACAGCCATATACTGTAGTTTGACTTTAGGAAAAAACGATCTCTTGTGAACAAAGGTAATTTTTAGATTTAACCTGTTATTCTTACTGCTTGCAGGAAGAAGAGCTCATCCAATCTGAAAATTCTGCCTCCATCTTTAACACTCTATCAGACATTCCATCTCAAATAGAAGAGCCAGATGTGTTGCTACGAGAGGCCATGATAATTGCAGGGACACTTACAGAAGTCATGATTGAAGCCCAGCGACGCAAACATCTTGCTTATCTCATTGCAGACCAGGGCCAGCTGCTCAACTCCACCACTGCTGTCACCAACCTTTCCAAAGTAAGTATTCTGTGTAATTATCAGTTATAAGTTAGTCTTGCGAGGATGTTTTTCTTTAGCCTGATATTCAGAATTTCAGCATGCAGACAGATTGTAAGGATATTAATTTGTATTACAATGAGTCTTTGCTTCATTTCTTTGATCCCCACTAAACACATTCATACATAATTATACTTTTACTTACTGTATTCCTATAGATAGTTTTAACTGATGAATAACTAATTACATTGCTAGTAATTGCAAGTAGTACCTTTTTAGATATGCAAAACAGCAATACTAGCAGTAACATTTGCAAATACAAGTTTTTTTCTCTAGTTGCCGATTTTGGAGGAATCGGCTCTTGACAACGGCTGTCACATTTTCAAGCAGTATCTTTCAGACTGTTACCCAGGATAAGTGCCAATGAGAAGCTATAAGCAATTTGAACTTGTCAGAGAATCACCTTGTCAAATCTTCAGCTGCGAAAGTGTTTGCTGAAGAGTTGCTTTTTCCTCTTTAATGAAAGAAGCATGTCATCTATTTTTTTCTTCTTTTATATTCTGGGCAGATTATGAGAAGACAGAGTCAGAGAAGGAAATCTGGTATCACAACGCTCTTATTTGGTGAGCATTTCACTCATTTTATCTTTTCAGTCTCTTTCTGTATTAAATCCTGTAATTTTATGGCTTCACATGACTGTTTTTAGAAGCAAATCTTACTTGAGCTTCCAGTGTCTTGATTAGACAGACAAATACAGTAAGCCTAAAATAAATGCTGCATTAAAAAAGGAAATGGCATTTACTTGGCTTGTCATTTCTGCCTCTGGAAGGAATATATTTAGGCATGAAAATTCAAATGAATCCATATGGAAAATTTTTTGTTATGTTCATTTTTATATCAAGTCTAATGTGATTTAGGTACATAGTCAGGTTAAAAAAAGACGCAAGTCCATTGAGGTCAACATATAGAGTTATTTGAATGATTAAGTTTCTTTCATAGGCATACCTCTAGTCAGATGATTTTGAATATTTATTTGTAATATTTTGTCCTTCTGAGGACATTATAAGCTATCAAGATTTAGAGACACATTGTGCTGTATAAGTATTTTCAGTGAGTCTCATTTAACAGCACTTGACCTGGTTTGAGATTCCGCTCTGTTGCTTTGACAGTCCCTGTGTTTTGGCCTGGAGGTGCATGGAACAATAACTTTCCCCCTTACTGCATTGAATGCTGAAAATTCACGAAAATTCACATAACACTATGGGGGGATGGGGGTGTGTGTATGGTAAGGGGGGGGCAGGTTGGGTACAAAATGTATGGGCATAGTAATTCAATTCAATTGGGGAGATTTACGAGGATGAACAATGGAATATTTGGTTCTCCTGATTTTTACATTGTACATTGCTGTTCTTTCTTTGCTTTGCAAATCTTTTATGTTCAGTTTGCCATTTGCTTTTTATTGCATAGGTTTGTGAGAGTTTTGCAATAACCGCTTAAATAAATTATGCTCTAGATGTAGCTGACTTACCCTGCGGATCGATAATTTAGGGTAGAAGATGCATAATGTTAGTAAATTGTGCATGGGAATTTGTAGATTTGTAGCTTTTGTAAATCCAAACTCCTAAAACCTATTCTACCATTGGCTACTGAAGAATATATGTCACGGGTCTTCTATCTAACTGTGTATTTTATCTCCACCACAGGTGATGATGACTTTGAGGCTCTAAAAGCCAAGAATATCAAGCAGACCGCATTGGTTGCAGATCTGCGGGAAGCCATCTTGCAAGTTGCACGTCATTTCCAATGCTCTGACCCCAAAAACTGCAACATTGTAAGTAAACGATAATGAATGCTTGTCTGGAGGCTAAAAGAGCTGTCCCTCAGCTAACCCTTACACTAATAACTTTGTTCTACTATAATGTCATGCTCTGACTTGTAGACCTGGTCTAATGACCCTATCTGGCAGAACCCTAAGCTTCCCCACTTTGTTGACAGCCCAGATAGTGAATGGCCAGGATTGGGCCTAAGGTATCTGCACCAATTTTATAAGAGGGAACTTCCATCCTTCAACTCTCTTAAACATATCTACAAATTCCCAGATACATTCTTCTTTAAATATATTCAGTACTGTGCAAAAGTTTTAGGCAGGTGTGAAAAAATGCTGTAAAGTAAGAATGCTTTCACAAATAAAAGTGTTAGTTTATTTTTATCAATTAACAAAATGGAAAGTAAATGAACAGAAGAGAAATCCAAATCAATTCAGTGTTTGATCTGACCACCCTTTGCCTTCAAAACAATCAATTCTTCTATGTACACAGTTTTTGAAGGAACTCGGAAGGTAGTTTGTTCCAAACATCTTGGAGAACTAAGCACAGATCTTCTGTGGATGTGGGCTGCCTCAAATCCTTCTGTCTCTTCATGTAATCCCACACAGACTCGAAGATGTTGAGTCAGGGCTCTTTGGGGCCAAACCATCACTTCCAGGACTCCTTGTCCTTGTTTACGCTGAAAATAGTTCTTAATGCCATTGGCTGTATGTTTGGAGTCATTGTCCTGCTGCAGAATAAATTTGTGGGTTGGGGCGGAGTTGTACATGGCTTTGTAGTTTATCGTTAGTATTATGAATTTTATATGTTGGGGAAGTGGGTGCCAGTGGTGCGATTGGCAGATGCTGATTTTTTTAAGGTGGATGAGTCTGGAAGCAGTGTTAACGATGGACTGAAGGGGGGATAGCCTGCTTAGTGGTAGGCCAACAAGGAGGGAGTTATAGTAGTCAAGATTACAAGGGAGTGAATTCGAAGCTTTGTGGTATCATGTGTTAAGAAGGGACGAATTATTACAATAAGAACAATAATTAAAAGAAAAAAAACACTTAGACTAATAAACAATGGAATAATTGCATACATTGGAATACAACAAGCTGCATTTTAAACCATACATGACCATTGTTTTACTAAGTCTGATGCTTTTAAAGAGACCCTGTCATCAACTTAAAAACTGCATTTTTCCATAAACATTTTTTATTTACTTGCAATGTGCTTCTGAACTTTCTAGGGAATTCAACAACTCCAGGAAGAGTCAATTTCCTACAACAGCCACAGTTCCCCCTCTCTGCTGCCTTATCATAGCCCTCTTCTCTGCTGAGAGTATCTGGTTCCTACTCTGCTGGCCCAGCTCCTCCACCTCTCCCCTCACCTCCCTACATAAATATTTATGTAGCTGCAGCAGGAGAAGTGAAGGGGAATACTATAGAGTTTCACTTGTTTAACAGCTCAAAGTCTGTTGGGCCCGCTGACATCCAAGATGGCAGTTCCCAACAGCAGTCTCAGGTCTTTTGGATGTTTACACAATGGGAGGCTTTCACTAGTAAATAACATGCATAACATATGTTTAATGCACATGTATTCTTGATTCTTGAAAGATTGTTGTTAAAATGAATGGTCTGGGGACAGGGTCTCTTTAAACTAAATGTTTACTTTATGTTTAATCATTCTTTAAAGGTCAACTATAGTTTTTTTTGCTGTTCAGTATTCTATTATTGAATTTTATATACAGATTTTATGTTGTATCCCTAGTACATTTGTATTTAACAATAGCTGCTGAGATCGGATTTCACACTCTTTGTGCATTGCTTTAAACCAGCCATCACTAAATGGCAGACTGTAGTCCAGACGCAGACCAAGTGGCAGTTTTCTCGGGACCACAATTGTCGACCTGCACTGGGACTGGCTGACATTGGATACACCGGCCTCCCTCCATTTCACTTATTGGTTGCTAGGACAGCTGGCTTCCTAGCATCCAATGACATCTAGCAGGGCCGGCTGCTACAACTACAAGTGTACAGCCACCCAGATTACTTGTACTATTCTGCAGTTTGGGATTGCAAAAGTTAAGTGAAAA